CGCGCGGAGAAGCCTGAGGCGGCTCGGGCGTTCGGCGGCTTCAAGCATCTCGCTTTCAGAGCCCACGATCAGGAAAGGGACGAAGTGAACGGGGAGGAAGAGGAGGACGCCGGGGAGGCGGAGGACGCGGGCGAGACCGGGGAGGAGGAGGAAGACGAGGAGCACAAGCAGGAAAATGGGGAAAGCATGACCACGTCAAGGGGCGGGAGCGAGACAGGGAAGAGGATATTGATGACGAGGTGGAAGAGCAGGATGACGCGGGCAACTCGGGCGGCTAGGGACGGGCGATCGAGGCTCGGGGCTAGAACGCCCCAGGTTCGAGTCTGACACTTCCGACTCACTCTCCGAGACACTCCTCTCCCCTTCGCTTACTAACGCTGTGATCCAAACCCACTCGGACTGAAACGCGCGCAGAATGAGTCGGAAGCAGACGCGGTGATACTCATGCCCGAACTCACGCACGCACTCCGACTCACACTCAGAAGCACTCTTACTCAGGCTCGCTCAAGCTCTGACTCACCCTCCCCCGAACCCTGTCAGACGCACGCCGACTCTCACGCAGACTGCTTCGCGCCCACGCCCACAAACACTCGACTCACGCGCACTCGACTCACGCGCGCGCCCGTACCCACTCGCACTCGACTCACCCGCATGTCCACGCTCATCTACACATACATGTGTCACGACAAAAATAAGGAAAACCGAATCTGTAAACGATTCACTCCTATTCTAATTTCGTGATGTCTACACGCGGTGGGCTGATCGACGTCTGCACAGAATACATGTGGAGTTGCATGTCGCGATGTCTACACGGTTGGGGGGCTGACCTGCACGTGAACCTGTACCAGGACACACTGAGTAAAACCACGCCTGCAGACGGTGGGTGCACTTGTAGGCTTACGTCATGGTGCGTCCCCAGAAAAGTCTGATCTACTCGTACAAGTGTGTCTCAGCAGACAAGGCAAAACCGCGTCTGCAAAAAATGCACTCCTGATCTCCTGTTACGGTGTCTGCACAACGTTGGCTGGCGACACGTGCGCAGGCGCGCGTGGGGAAACTAGGCAAAGCCGCGTCTCCCGATAAGACCTGCAACGTCGCCGCGAACCCGAAACGCCTCAATAACTAAAGGCCCACGCTGAAGACCCACAAACACCCAAACAACCTTCGAACACCTCTTAGAGAAAAGTCGGCGGTAAGCCTGCGCTTGTCTCAAAGGGTTTTTTCTTTCGGCTCAGGCAAAATGAACTGCATGGGGAAGGACAAGGGGTCCCCGGCGGAGAACGCCCCAAAGACATGAAACACATTGGTTTGCGTGGTTTGTGATATTGTGCTGTTTCGCCTTCCCGACGCTCCGAGACTGCCCACGAAGCCTCCGAGGCCTCCCGAAGAAGACCGCCCGAGCACAATGCAACAAAAATCCCCAAGGCCATTTTTGGGGTCGGCGGCAGTGGCGGCAGCCTGTAGATTCGACAGCGAAATCTTCGATCCGACGGTCAGCCTAGTCCCGCAGGTGGCCCATGAGTGCGCCGAGCAACCCCGCAATCTTGGAGTTCCACAATCTCCACGCCACTTCCGTACAGTCGGGGCGTTGACCTACGGAACCCTAAATAAAGAACGAGGCCCTTTGCTTCCACAAGTCCTGTTCCTCCTCCTCTTCCTCGTCCTCCTTTTCCTCCTCCTCCTCCTCCCTCCTCCTCATCCTCCCCCTCCTCCTCCTACAACGGAAACCCCGGGGGAGGTCCCGCCTCCAATCTCGGCGGCACCGCCCGTAATGCCGTGACAACTAATATTCACCGAACGGCGGCGCCGTGCCGCGCCAAAGGCGGCGCGGGCCCCGCTCGCACGCCGCGCCGCGCAGGGGGCGGCACAGGCGACGCCCGACGTTAAATCTTTTGCCCCGCGCAAAATGTGACAACGCGGGGTTGCCCTAGAGGGTTGAGCGGTGCACGCCCCGAAAACATCGACAACGAAATCTTCGATCCGACGGTCGCCCTAGTCCCGCAGCGACTGCCGGCACTGATCCTCAAAGGTGGCCCACGAGTGCGCGGAGCAACCCCGCAGTCTTGGAGTTCCACAGTCTCCACTCCACTTCCATACAGTCGGGGCGCTGACCTACGGTACCCTGGATAAATAAAAAGGCCACTTTCTTCCAGAAGTTGAACTTCAGTTTGGTCTCGAAAACCGGAAGACAGACTAAGGCAAACTGTAAAACAACTAAGGAGCACTGAGCCCCTCCCAAACGAAAAGGGTTCCTTCTTCAGCGCCCCGACTGTATCGTTTTCTAGACCTTTCCTGCAATATGACACGACGAATATTTGGATCGGAATCCAGCCGTGGTGACGAGGGCGGCATCTGGGAGGGGCAGAACACGCCCACAACCCTCGTAATGGAGGGCAGCGGGGGGAGAACGAGGCAGATACTCGCACACTGCGGGACAGGAAGAGTCGGGCGATAAAAACCAGGACTCGGCACAAGCAGTTGGCGTCAATGCAACATCTCGACGTCCAGGCGCTTGTTGGAAGTCCTGCCGCCAGCCGCAGGGAAGGACGGTTCTTATCGGCCATGGCAAAGACAATGGAAGCCATCGGAAACATGATAGGAAGGAGAAGAAGGAGCGATCGCACGGGGAGCGTGAAGTACTCGGCGTGGAGGGACTTGGGTCACTGCCCGCGAAGCTGAACGGGTAGACGCACAACAAATCACCTCACTCCCCTCCGCCTCCCTCCTCCCACCCCCCTTGCCGCCTCCCTCTTCCATTCTCCCTCCTCCTCCTCGCTCCTCCACTCCTCATCTCCTCCTCTCCTCCCCTGCCACATCCTCCACCAGCCACCCTCATCCATCCTCCTCACGTCGAAAACAAGGAACACAACGACCACGACGACCACCACGACCGCGACGACGACGACGATGACGACGACCACGACGACGACGACGACCACGACGACCATGACGACGACGACGACGACCATGACGACGACGACGACGACGACGACGACGACGACGAAGACGACCATGACGACGACGACCACGGCGGCGACGACGACGACGACAACGACGACGACGACGATGGCGGCGGCGGCGGGGAGGGGAGGGGAAGGGAGGGAAGAGAAGGGAATGGAAAAGAAGGGAAGGCAAGGGAGGGAGGGAGAAGCCAGCACAAACCCAGGTCGGCCAGGGCCTCGCCGCGAAGCTTGGCAGGACGCTTAGTAGCTCCCAACCCTAGTTAGCGGAAGGCAAAAAGGGGGAATCATACTCACGTGGCTCTCGGTCGGCCAGAAAGGATACGTGACCTCTGTTGGTGCTGACCCCCGAGTAGAGCGCAACAGCTCGGGCACCTTCCTGCCACGTGGGCCGCGCCTACTTCTCGGCAACAGCGGGGTGGGCGAAGAGGGCGGGGAAAGGTACACGGCTTCACCCGGGGCCGTAGGCGACCCGAGGAGGGGGGGGGAAAAGGAAGAGAAGGAGGAGGAGGTGGAGGAGGGAGGGGGAGGAGGAGATGGAGGTGGAGGAGGAGGAGGAGGAGGAGGAGGAGGGAGGGAGGAGGAGGAGGAGGAGGAGGAGGAGGAGGAGGAGGAGGAGGAGGAGGAGGAGGAGGAGGGGGAGGACGGGTCGCCTAAGCCTTTCGGAGAAACCCTCCAGGGAAGTCGGAGAAAAACCCTCCAGGGAAAGGGTCGACCCGGGGCGCCCCCTCGAGCATGGACGCCAGTGGAGCGCCACGCGATTCGAAACCCCCAGCGGCCCCGCCTTGGGCTGGGCCGCTGGAGCAGGAGGAGGGGGAGGAGGAGGAGGAGGAGGAGGAGGAGGAGGAGGAGGAGGAGAGGAGGAGGAGGAGGAGGAGGAGGAAGAGGGGGAGGAGGAGGGAGAGGAGGAAGATGAGGAGGAGGCAGCTCTTGCACTGCCGCCCGGCTGGACGGGGCAGCGACGGGCCGCTGGCTGCTGGCTGGGCCGCGAGCCGCCAGGCGGGGGCACTGGAGTGAGGCGGATGCTGGGCTGAAGCGTAAAGGCAATCGGAACATGTTCCACAAGCGTCAGAGAGGAAGGGAAAGATCGTCCCCACACTGTGTTTTTACTATTTCTGTATCCTCCTCCTGTAGAGGGACCTGCCCGACTTCACACTGGGGCACAGAGAGGCGTGGCCACCCCGCCACGCGCGGCCCGCACGGCCAGACGCCACACCAGCCCGCGGCGCGGGGCGGCGCCACGGGCCAAGGTCCGGCGGTCCGGGTCGCGTCCGGCACTGCCCCCCTGCAGACCACCACCATCGCGAGAGGGAGGGAGGGAGGGAGAGGGCCTGCCGCGTGAGGAGGGCGGCTGGCGGGGCATGTAGACCCCTTGCCCCCCTCCCCCCCCCGATTCCCGGAGCTCCTCATGGCACGTTGCCTTCCTACCCTCTCCCTCCCCCTCCTCTCCATCCTGGTCCTGTTCCCGCTTCTGTCCTCCTCCGCCCTCCCCTCTCCCCATCTTCTCTCCCTGCTCCTCCTCCAACTCCTCATGACTAATTATCCTGCCTTCTCCTCCTCCTTCTCCTGCCTCTCCTGCTCCTGCTGGTGATCCTCCTCCTTATCCTCCTCCTCCTCCTCCTCCTCCTCCTCCTCCTCCTCCTCTTCCTCCTCCTCCTTATCCTCCTCCGCCTCCTCCTCCACCTTTCCCTCCTGACTCTTTCCTTTCTGGTCGTCGAACCTCCTCCTCATCATTTTCCTCCTCCTCTCATCCTCCTCCTTCTCTCCTCTCCCTCCTCCTCTCCTCCTCCTCCTCCTTCCTCCTCCTCTTCCGATTGACTCTTCCCTCTATGGGCGTCTAACGTCCTCCTCCTGGTCCTCCTCCTTCTCCTCCTCCGCCTCCGCCTCCTCCCCCTCCTCCTCCTCCTTCTCTGCGCAGCAGCAGCCACGGCAGCGTTTCCCCACAGGATCGCGAGCGGCCGCAAGGCTCGTCGACGCTTCGGCGCGCCCCGCCCGCGGCCGCGGTGCCGTTAGTCACCGCCAGCAGCAGGGTGAACCTCGTCAGGGCCTCGGCCCGAACTGGCGTTTCTCATTGCTTTCCGCCTCGTCCACCTCCTCCTCATCCACCTTTCGATTCTCCTCACCATCATCATCACCACAACCATTATGCACTCCTCTTCCTCCTCCCCCTCCTCATCCTTCTTCTCCTCCTCCTCCTCCGCCTCATCATCGTCATCATCATCAACACCAACAACGTCAGCATCACCATCATCAGCAGCATCATCATCAACAACATCATCATCCTCAGCAGCATCGTAATTGCCATCACCATCACCATCTTCATTACCACCGTAAGCATCGCCGATGGAGAGGTATGCCTAAGGGTGAAATAAATCTGCGTAGTGCTTTTGCGTAGTGTGTTTGCATCGTGTTTTTGCGTAGGTTTTTTTTTTTGTTGCGTAGTGTTTTTCGCGTAGTGTTTTTTCGCGTAGTGTGTTTGCATAGTATTTGATTGCGCAGTGTTGTCGCGTAGCGTGTGTGTGTGTGTGTGCGTAGCGCATCTGCGTAATGTTTTGCGTAGAGATGTTGCGTCGCGTACTCGCGTCGTGTGTGCTGAGTGCGTTTGCGTAGTGTATTTGCGTAGTGTAGTTGCGTCGTGTAATTGCGTCGTGTCTGTGCTGAGTGCGTTTGCGTGGTGTATTGGCGTAGTGTGTTGGCGTAGTGTATTTGCGTAGTGTTTTGCGTAGTGCTTTCGCGTAGTGATGTTGCGTAGTGTTTGTGCGTAGTGTTTTTCGCGTAGTGCTTTTGCGTAGTGTATTTGGGCAGTGCTTTTGTGTAGTGTGTTTTTTAGCGTAGTGTTTTCGCGTAGTGCGTTCCCGTGGCGAATCTGCGTAGTTTTTTTGCGTAGTGTGCTTGCGTCGTGTATTCGCGTCGTGTCTGTGCTGAGTGCGCTTGCGTAGTGTATTGTGGTGGTGTATTTGCGTAGTGCATGTGCGTCCTGTATTTGCGTCTTGTATGTGCTGAGTGCGCTTGCGTAGTGTGTTGGCGTAGTGTGTTGGCGTAGTGTATTTGCGTAGTGGTTTTGCATAGTTATTGTGCGCAATGATTTTGCGTAGTGTGTTTGCGTAGCGTTTTTCGCGTAGTGTGTTTGCGTAGCGTTTTTGCGTCGTGTTTTTGCGTAGTGGTTTCGCGTAGTGTTTTCGCGTAGTGTGGTTTGGCGCAGTGTTTCTGCGTAGTGCATTTGCGTAGCGCATCTGCGTAGTGTTTTTGCGTGGCGTACTCGCGTCGTGTATTTGCGTCGTGTGTGTGCTGAGTACGTTTGTGTAATGTGTTGGCGTAGCGTATGTGCGTCGTGTATGTGCTGAGTGCGCTTGCGTAGTGTATTGGCGTAGTGCATTGGCGTAGTGTAGTTGCGTAATGTTTTTCGCGTAGTGCGTGTGCGTGGTGATTTTGCGTAGTGTTTTTGCGTGGTGTTTCTTGCGTAGCGCATTTGCGTAGTATTTTTGCGTAGTGCTTTCTGCGCAGTGTATTCGCGTAGTGTATTCGCGAAACGCATCTGCGTAGCGTTTTTGCGTACATGTTTTTGCGTCGTGTACTCGCGTCGTGTATGTGCTGAGTGCGCTTGCGTAGCGTATTCGCGTCGTGTATTTGCGTCGGGTGTGTGCTGAGTGCGTTTGCGTAATGTGTTGGCGTAGCGTACTCGCGTCGTGTATGTGCTGAGTGCGTTTGCGTAGTGTATTTGCGTAGTGTATTGGCGTAGTATATTTGCGTCGTGTATTTGCGTCGTGTATGTGCTGAGTGCGTTTGCGTAGTGCATTGGCGTAGTGTGTCGGCGTCGTGTTTTTGCGTAGTGTTGTTGCGTAGTGTTTTCGCGTAACGATGTTGCGTAGTGTTTTTTGCGTCGTGCTTTTCGCGAAGCGTTTTTTGCGCAGTGTGTTTGCGCAGTGTGTTTGCGTAGTGTGTTTGCGTAGTGTTTTCGCGTCGTATATTTGCCTAGCGCATCTGCGTAATGTTTTTGCGTAATTGGTTTGCGTCGTGTATTCGCGTCGTGTATGTACTGAATGCGTTTGCGTAGTGTATTGGCGTAGTGTATTCGCCTCCTCCTCCTCCTCCTCCTCCTCCTCCTCCTCCTCCCTCTCCTCCTACTCCGACTCCTATCCGCGGCTACCTGGTATCGGTCCTTGAATGTTCCTCCTCTTCCCCCTCCTCCTCCTCCTCCATATCAGTCCAAAGTTCGTCCTCCTCCTCCTCCTCCTCCTCCTCCCTCCTCCTGCTCCTCCTGCTCCTCCTGCTCCTCCTGCTCCTCCTGCTCCTCCTCCTCCTCCTCCTCCACCTCCCTGTACTCCAGTTCTAACAAATATCGGTCCAATTCCCCCCCCCCCCCTCCACGCCTCCGCAACTGCCCGCCTCCTGCGGCGAACGTGACGTGAGACGCGGGCGACGCGCTGCGTTGGGATTCGGGCGTGTTGTTTCCGTGTAGTAGCGCGCCGACTCGGGGCGCTCCTGAAAACACGTAAAAACACTACGCAGAATGAATGCCCTCGTGGGCATCGTCTCGCGCCAGTTCCGCCCGAATCCGCAGCCCCCCACGGCATCGGGCGAAACTGTCCAGAGACGCGGGCGACGCGGCATGCTGCTGCGCAAGGGTTTGGGCGCGTTGGCGTGGTGGCGCGCCGACTCGGGGCGCTCCTGCACGCACTGCGTAAAAATACTACACAGAACGCCCCCGTCGCCCGCATCTCGCGCGAATTCCGCTCGAAACAGCGGCTCCCCGTGGCCTTGGGCGAACGTGACATGAGACGCGGGCAGCGCGGGTTTGGGCGTCGTTGTTTGCTACGTGGTTGCTTGCCGGCTCGGGGCGCTCCTGGAAACACTAGGTAAAAACACTACGCAGAATGCCCTCGTCGCCCGCGTCTCGCGCCAGTTCCGCACGAATCCGCAACTCCCCGCGGCCTCGGCCAACGGTGACGAGAGACGCGGGCGACGCGGCATGCTGCTGCGTGGGGTTTCGGGTGTGTTGTTCCCGCGTAGCAGCGTTGCCGTCTCGGGGCGCCCCTGAAAACACTACGTAAAAACACTACGCAGAATGCCCTCGTCGTCCAGACTTCGCAGGGCCGCGCCAGCCGCTGGAGCGCCCGCTCACGAGACCTCCCTGGTCACACACGTACTGTGCGGATGTGACGTACTCACGTACGTAATGCTTCTCCGTAGTGTGTGTTTTGCGTAGTGATTTTACGTAGTGTGTTTTTCTCTGCGTAGTGTTTTACGTAGTGTTTTTACGTAGTGATTTGTTGTTCCTGCGTAGTGTTTTTACGTAGTGTTTTCTATTTCACCTTTAAAAATTTCTATTTCACCATTAAAGTTTTGATTTCACCATTAACCGCAACCGTCCATCATCGCCATCATCACCCCATCATCACCATCATCATCATCATCATCAGCATCATCATCGTCATCATACACATCATCCTCCTCATACATCCCCGCCACGTCATCATCATCACCATCATCACCCCATCATCACCATCAGCATCAAGATACGTTTCATCATCATCATCAGCATCATCATCATCATCATCATCTTCATCATCATCAGCAGCAACATCAGCATCAGCATCAGCATCATCGCGATCCCCATCCACAGCCTCATCATGCACATACTCAGCATCGCCAGCATCATCCTCCACCGCGTCCTCATCATCAGTGGCACCATCGTGATCATCATCGTCTTCACCACCATCATCACCATCATCATCACCATCACCATCATCATAACCATCACCGCCAGCAGTATCATCATCACCACCACCAGCATTAGCACCATCATCACCATCATCATCATCACCGTCGCCGCCCGAAGCAACATCACAGTCATCAGAATCTGCATCATCATCAGCAGCAGCAGCAGCACCATCATCATCATCATCATCATCATCATCATCATCATCATCATCATCAGCATCATCATTATTGTTATCATCATCATCATCACCATCATCATCTCCTGTATTCCTGCAGTACGCCACCGATAACCATCAGTGTCCATATTGGTGTAACGGCAGCAGCGTGCCACGGCCGAGGTGTGGCTCAGCTATCGCCATGTCCTCTTCCTCGGCTCCCTCCTTCTCTAGAGGTGCCTCATACGTTCGGGTGTCCTGCTCCTGGCTGGGGCAGACGCCTCTGCTGGATCGGTGCCGCGCTTGCCGCCGGCCGCACGCGGGGCCCCCCCCCGCTGCAATGCCGCAGTCGTCGGGGACACGACCGCCTGCCCGTCGGGCCGAGTGCACGGCAAGGTGCACGGCGGGCCCCCGGCCGCCGGCCGGCGACGCGACGTGCAGCGCGGGTCCAGCGGCGCTGCGTGGTGACCCTCGTGGCTCCTTGCCGCGCAGTCTCGCGCTACCCTCTGGCCACCATCATTGTGAGTCTGTCCGCTGGGTAGTCTGGGGCCGGGGGCGCCCTGCCCCTGCTCCCGCGACGTGCTCTTCCGCGCGGGGCGTTCCCTGGAAGTGTCCGTGGGCAGGGTCATCGCGAAGCGCTTCCACGGCGGCTTCCTTTTATGAAGACGACCGCCGAGGCCTTCTCCCCGAGGGTGCTTTTGGAGGTGATGTTCCTCCTTTTCTTATGGTTACGATTGCTAGTATTATGATTATCATTATTATCCGTAGTATTATTACTAGTACTCTTATTAGCATTATTAATAGTACTATTAGTACTATGATTATTAGCACTACCACTTTCATTATTACTAGGGTTATTATCACACCTCATTGGCTGGGTGTTCGTTTTGAATACAGCACTGCTCGCGCGTCCTTCCTCCCGCTTCCTCCCTTCTTCTCCCGCCTCCCTCTTGTCTCCTCTTGCCGTGTGCGGACCTCGCCATTCCTAAGGGGGGTGCGATCAGCGAAATTGTCGCCACTTTCGAGGGCTGCTGGGGAGGCCAGCAGAGTGGGCACTCGCCGCGGATCCGAATTAGACCTCGCCATTCCTGGGGGTCTGCGATCTGCGAGACCGTCGCCACTTTCGAGGGCTACTGGGGAGGCCAGCAGAGTGGGTAGTCACCGCGGATCC